GACTTTTTTTCTTTTGTTTTTTTTTTTTTTTTTATTTTTTTATTTTCAAGGATCGATGGATATAGCACTGCCTAATGCCTGTGCATGCCGTGAAAGTGTTGATTTCAATGGGACATATAAACCTAACACCAAATGGAATTGCTTTTTACTATGAGACTGAATGTTTTTAATATACATCATATATTATATATACATATATATATGTTAAGAATTGGAGACAAAGAAATAGAGGCAGGGATTTATAGAGAGAGAAAGAGAGAGAAAAAAAACCAGAGAGCGACATGCTTCTGCAGGAGAGAAAAAAAAGGAATATAGAAAAATGCAAGCTTTATCGACTCTTGTGCGTGAGAATGTATATTATATGTATGTTTCAGTGCCTCCTTGGCAAAGCCAACGCATTAATTCTATTACATGCAAGAAGGTTTTTTCTACCGATCGTGTAAGCCTTGCATTTTTTGTAACTAACACAGGTGTCGAGGTAAATATTTCCGTTCCTCTCATACTGTGAGTATTTTTGTACTTGTATTATTTTTCGAGAAACTTTTGTAAAGTTTTACGAATGGATGTACAGAACGAAGCGCCTTAATTTAAAAAGAGGAAAAAAAAGAAGACCTAATTTATTGCATTAGTCATGTTTTAGTATATATATTAAAAGCCGAGCAGCAAATTTACTAGAGAGATGGAGAAGCATCGTTCAAGTTCTACTTTCCGTGTGTAGTAAGAAACGAACGAAAATATTCATGAAGATTATGTTCTCTGTGATATAGCAAAAAATAGCTCCGAAACAGAGATAGAAAAGCGTTATCGTTATTGCTCTTATTATTATTATAATTACTATTATTACTACTATTAATACTATTGCTACTATTAATATCATCCTCATCGTCATTGTTGTACCATTGTAGACAATATGCTGTCTGACATAAAACAATAAACTTGCCTAATGATCATTTAAAAGGCCGTTTCATTTTAATCTATGACAGGAAGTTGTTAATAGATACACAAGTTAAGAAATAATTTTTTTTAATAGAATCGACATAATATTTACAAATTTTGTAATATTTACAGTTATTCGCGTCCGAAGAAATTAGTTTTCAGTCATTTTATACTTAATCATGTACACATACTTCGATATTTTATCAAATTCCTTTATTTTGTAGATTTTGTCTAATCTGGTCCTTTATCACGATTCACTTACATCCATCTTGTCCTGATCTTTTTCTCCGGAATAATACTCATTAGCTGGTTCAACTAACTTGTCAGTGTCTTGCACATTTTGCCTGGAGTCTGGATCAGGTTCCGGTTGCCTTTCTTCTTCTGGTGGCAATGCATCGCACGGCACATCCTGCATTTGGACACTTGGAGAATGTTGGATCATTTTTAAGTTATCATACACGTGTCTCGTGATAGCCTCTAAATATTGTTTACTGTTTGCGTTGTCCTGTCTCGTTACAACGTCAGGATGCAACGTGAAATCTGGAGCGAAATACTCCAGGTACTCCGTATAAGGCAACTCATTGCTGATCTGCTCATCAACAAGTAAAGAAGTTTCATAGGTCCAGCAACGCGCAACGTTGCGCAACGTGTATCCTCCTCCTCCAACAGTGAGCAATGGTACGTTCAGGTCTCTCACGAATTTCACACATTCGCCGTGACCTTTCGTGCTCAAACTAAAACAGCCAAGACGATCATTTGCGAGTGAATCTGCTCCACATTGCAGGACTATAGCAGTTGGTTGGAAGAACTCCATCACATGGGATATAACAGGCTTGAATACTTGAACATACGATGTATCGTCAATACCTTCCTTCAATGGCACATTAACGGAATAATACCGCCCACTTTCTGCACCGATTTCGTACATGTCTCCTGTGCCAGGAAAGAAATAATTTCCATATTTGTGAAAAGACACGGTCATTACCCTATCCGTGAGATAAAATGCTTCTTGTACTCCGTCCCCATGGTGGACATCTATATCTATGTATAATACTCTGGCATGGTACTTCAACAACTCCAAGATTGCTATGACAATGTCGTTGATGTAACAGAAGCCAGAAGCTTCGAACTTCTTCGCATGGTGCAATCCTCCACTCCAATTAATAGCAATGTCGCAGCAGTTGTTATTTAGCTTGGTAGCACCTTCCAACGAAGCGCCTGTGTACATGGAACAGAAGTCGAACAGTCCTTCGAAGACGGGACAGTCGTCACCTACGTTGAAGTGACTCAGATACTTCGTGTATCCTTGCAAGTTTTGCGGGGTTACCCTCTGTAGAAATTCGACGTACTCGTCTGAATGAAAGCGGCACATATCATGAGTACTCGCGCGATATGGACGATAGATCTGCATCTTTTTGTGCAATCCGTAATTCAACACCAAACTGTGAATCACAGCGAGTCGGTGAGGTTTCATCGGATGTCCAGGCCCGTAGTGAAAGTTCCCTACGTCCGGATTATAGAAATACGACACCTTTTTGTTGTAACTCATTTTGAGGTTAACTATCGAAAACGTATGAATGTTAGCGTGTACAAGGAAGGAATACCTTTTGTCGTTAAATTACATTTATAGTCTTTTTACGAATGAGACGAAGTAATTAAAATTATTCGACTATTAATGTTTACTCGTAGAATTTTAAAACTATTGGTAATCTGATGATAACCAAGTATCTTTTCTGTAGAGGAATCCATTGATCGAGACAGAATATATTAAATTAACCTCAATTTTCATTGAGCAACAAACGACAAATAAACGATTTTTAAATTTAAAAATTACAATAACAACACTTGCAACAATACATAGAATGTAATCAATCTCCACGCGTCATTGTGACATTTTTTTTTTATTGCCATCTGCAGAGAAACGTTTGAATTCGAACTAATTTCCCCTAGATGTGGTCACGTGGTTTTACCTATAGTGTAGCATTTAAAAAATTACATCAGATATACTTGCAATATTTCTCCCGTTTTTTTTTTTGAAAATAGGTGATCAGATATATCCGACGTCCGTAACAAAACAAGTATCAACAAAAGATGCCGACGTTTTTTAGTTACATAATTTTTTTTCCAAATTGAAAAATCGATAGTTTCCTCATGCAGGGGAAATCAAATAGTTACCGTTTTCAAACAGTAGCGCCTGTGAATCGAAATTTGACGGCTGTGTACGACGATAATTTGCGAGTTGATTTCGAAAACGATAGACAAATGGTGTGATCTGCGTTCTTTGCTAAGATATTTTTGAATGTTCAGCAGGTCTTGAACAGATTTTGATGGGCTGCGGTCGTTTTCTTGTTTTCGGGACTGGCGGTTGGCAACGACGCGTCCAACGTATTTCGAGGGATGAATCGAATACCTGAGGTTTTTCTATTATTTATCAATAGTATATTAATCGACGTTTAAAAAACGTATACACGTGAGAAGTCCCGATTAACCCTGCGCAAGTGAAAATTCAGAAAGCATGCGGCCGGATTCACGCAGCGTTTCGTTCACGTTTCACCGGGAAGTTCTGAACGTCAAAAACTCGCCGGAGATCACGAAGAAACTGAGACGACGCCTCCAGGATCGTTTCGAAAAGACGAAGAAACCCGGGGACACCTGCAAGGAAAAGGTGCCCAAGGAGAAGCAAACAGATCGTAGCTGGAATAATTTGTCCCTCGGAAATATGTCGGCGGATTCGAGGCGTGCTTTGCGAAGCGGAGCCGAGAAATTGTCCAAAACCATATCTTCCGTACGCACAACTTTTGGAACTATTTCACAGGTGAAATTACTTGTCAAAAAATGAAATAGTAACGATGAACAGGCTGGAGACGTTTGTGCAAAGTTTTGTTTTTCAGAATATAAAAAAAAGAAACTGAAATTCAGGTATATTAACACTTTTCACAAATGCATAAACATCCACAGCCTGGTAGTAATGCTTCTAAATTACACGTACATGTAAAATTATTTCTTTCATTTGTTACACAGAAGTTTAAGAGTTCTACACGCAGACGTCAAAGACTAGAGGAGCAACAGTCTCCCAATAGCATTTGTAAAATGCAAACTCCACAGACTCACTCTCGTCAGCTTCTCGGCAGAACACCAACGAAGCTTTATAGTCCTTTTGGCATAGAATCTCCAAGACATGCGTGGAACAAAGAGAACAATGAAACATCAGTGCAAACTCCTCCAGCAATGAATACAAGATACATCCAGTGCAGACCATTCTGTTTCACCAGGGCTAAAGGATTCTCTGTATTGAGATAAAATCTCTTCCTTATTATTTTTTTTTTTTTAATGTTATTGAAATGATCTCTTTACTTTTCAAGCAATGCATTCAGAATTGCGTGCCTTGTGCAACTTACGATTGAATTATTTATTCAATTTTGATTAAGGTAGTAATTTACTCCTAAACATATTCATAGCCCTTTGGCGCATTATCTGTAATATCAACCTGCTTTACATGTATATGCAATGTGTAATCTATTTATACTTTTTTATACGTATTTACATGGATAATTATTATGGCTGCAATATTGAATAAAGGAGAGGCATAAGCAACTCTTTAAATCGAATGTCAGATAATTAGTCTGAGAAAAAAAGAAAAAAAGAAAAAAAATTAACGTTTTCAGCTGTAACAACTTGAAGAAGAAGAAACCTAACCTCAAAACAATCATTGCAGACTATCAATCCTTGTACAATTCGTTACGTCCAATCGCATATTTAATTCTTCACGTATCCCAAATGAAACGCGACATCGAGAAAGAGAGAATCGTAATCGAATATTTACTGTATTCGTTATTCATATTTCATTTGTTATTATAATATTACAATATTACAGAACATCGCAGACGGCGGTAACTTAACGACGTGGACTTGCTACCGCGTGGAATCGTAGGTGTCGATGAATTTGCAGAAAACATCTCACGAAGTGTCGAGATCACGTTTACAAGTTACAAAAACCGATTAAACAAGTTCGAGGTGATCTTGAAGCGGGAATTGCGGATACTTTCATCGTAGTCAGTGCGCACGTGCATATCGATAGCGTAGCCGTGAGGAGAAAGAAATTTCCGCAAAAATGCGCCACTGCATTCCGAAAGCAGCGTGAACGTGACACGACCGACATGTGAAAACGAGAAATCATCCGCCACGACAAAAGATATTCTAACATTTAGTGTAATGTCTCGCTCACGCCGGGAATGGCTACATACGAACGAAACGAACACACGCAAGGCGACATGAATCCCCAAGCGGGGTAAGTTTCCTGTATAAATCTGATTTCTTCAGTTAAAAATATTTCGAATTGACAAAAAAAAAAA